AGATAGCCTACTAACTGGTCTTCTTGCTTTCTGAAAGGAAGCATCAATCCACTCTCCACATGAGAATAACCTACAATGCTATTTTCATCTGGGCATATGTCTTTCCTAGCACTTCCCACTGCCTGGAGAGATCGTCATTATGCACATTACCCTATCTGTATTAGCCATATCTACCTTTGCAATTCCGGCTCTGATAAGAACAGGTGCTCCAGATAGAACCAAATTACCCACACATGCTGGCAGCAACCCCTGCCCCCATTCCTCACCCCCGCTTCCTCTTCCCTGTGAGACTACAAAATTTTGGTTCAACATTTAAGGCTTAAGCTCATTTTGGTGATAATACAGTGGTTAAGAGCCCACCCCCGGGCTGGCCCGGTGGCGCACTGCTACAGTGCGCTGCTTGGGAGCGCGGCGGCGCTCCCGCCGAGGGTTCGGATCCCACATACAGACCAGCCGCTCACTGGCTGAGCGAGGTGCGGGCGCGACACCGAGGGTTGCGATTCCGTTGCCGGTCCGGTACGGGGGTGACACTGGGGGTTGCGATCCGTTGCCGGTCACGAAAAAAAAAAAAAAAAAAAAAAAAAAAAAAAGAGCCCACCCCCTAGAGCTGGACTGCCTGTGTTTAATTGCAGCTCCTACCAGCTGTGTGAGGTTGGGCAAGTTATTTAATCTCTCTGAACCTCAGTTTTCTTTCCCAAAGTAGAAATAACAGCAGCAGCTACTTCATAGGGATTTGAGAACTGAGTTAATATATGGAAAGTCCCTGGCATGCAGTAAATGCTATATAAGTGTAATCTCTCTGAACCTCAGTTTTCTTTCCCAAAGTAGAAATAACAGCAGCAGCTACTTCATAAGGATTTGAGAACTGAGTTAATATATGGAAAGTCCCTGGCATGCAGTAAATGCTATATAAGTGTGTAGTCATTGTTATGTCTTCACTACTGTCCCTTCCCCCAAAGTTAAATACTCTTTCCTTTGTACTCCCATGGCACTTTATCACAAGGAATTCTAACTCTACCTCCCTCACTTCGTGTCTCAAGGCAGGAACTTTGTCTTACGCATCTTCTTATCCTCAGCCAATATAATGTATGTCACATTTTTATCTGAAATAATTATCAATAAATGTGGAATGTGTGCAGGTACAAAAGAAAATGCAAAATCTGGGCCAAGTCTTGAAAGATAAGTCAAATTTCAAGTGAAAGAAAAGGTGAGGGGGGGAAAACCACTCTACAATACTGAAATGCATAAACAAAGCAGATATTAAAGTGCAGAGGTACTTGGGAAATGACAAGTAGGCTAGGGTACATGTAGTGTGTGTGGGGGGGCAGGGAACATAACTGAGAAATGAAGGAAGTAAGAAGGGGTTATGAATGGTGTTGAATGCTAGCCTAAGGAGTTTGGACTTCACTCCATAAAGAACGGGGTCCAAGTAAGTCCTTTTGACTAGTGGTACTACATGATTTAATCATTTTAGTTAGGTAACTATGAGTGATGTGAAAGCTGGATTGGAAAGTAGAAAGACTAAAGACAGAGACTAATGATAGGTACTGCTACAATCCAAGCAAGAAGTAGCAAGGACCTTAGCTAAGGCCATGCAAATGAAAGATGGGGTAAATAACATATCCAAGGTGAAATTAACTGGCTTCAGTGACTGTTCTTATATGAGGATGAAGGATATGATTCATAGGTTTCTTGCCTGAACAACTGAAAAATGATGCCATTAATGAAGATAAAGAATACAGAGGGAGGAGCAAGGTTAGGAGTCCAGGACAAGGTGCAGTTACTCCACCTAAAGTAATTTTTGAAAATAGTAAACATATTATTTAGAATTGAAATCAAATGCTGAGAGAACTATGCCATCGCTCTGGCATGCACTGCTCTTAACAAGCACATCACAGCAAAAGGTGTCCAGTTCAAAGGGCTCATTTGTTTACTAAATAATATGTTACGGGAGAAAAACTTATTACATAAAGGTAGGGCTGAAGAGATCAAAATGTAGCCAACACTAGGTATTCTGAAAGCCTGCTTTTTTAGTTTCTCACAAAATACTTTAAGACTAAGGTTTTGTTCTGAGCTAAATATGATGAAAATTTAAGGCTGCTTAAAGATTTATTTAAAAACACTGACTTTAACTTTGCTTACTTGATGCTTTGTATACAATGTTTGTTATTTTTGAATCTGGGCTGTCCCTTTGCAACTCATATCAAATATGCACTTTGTGCCTTTTCTCTATCAAGACTCCCTTTCTTAAAAGGCTGAACAAGGTGATCTAAACTAAAAGTGCAATTCCTGAAAGTTCTATCTTTTAAATTAAAAGTGCTATCTATTAAAACAAACACAATATAAGGAAATTTAAACAGACCAGATATTTCTATTCCTGAAATGAGGAAATGGCAGAATAAGTTTGTGCAGCAGTAATCAAACTTCAGTGCACAACAGAAACATCCTAAGTGCTCATTCTCTGGGGCTGGCAGGTATGGGATCCCAACCCCTGACTTTGGTATTACAAGGCTATGCTCTAACCAAATGAGCTAACCAGCCAGCCCTTTGGGTGCTTGCTTAAACAGCAGTTATTTGCCTTTCTCCCACCCCAAAAGATTCTGATTTGGTAAGGGCACGGGACTCAGAAAACTCTTTTCAAACACCCCAGGTGATTCTAATGCAAGTATTTCAAGGCCACTTTGAGAAACATGCACTACCTCTGATATCAGACATATGGTTTTAGGTCCAGTTTTCCCACTCACTGTTGTGTGACCTCAGACTACTAACCCAGTGTCCCTGGGGTTCAAGTTTCTCATCTATAAAAGTGGGATACTAAAGGCTTCAGAGGGATGATGAAAGAGGACATAATGAAACAATGCTAAAACAGTGCTTAACACAGTGTCCCCCCATAATTATTACTATGATTCACCCAGTTCCACAGGACAAAAACAAGGAAGAATTGGACATGGGTACATATTCATCATGATATTCTAAAAGCTTTCTAGTTCATAATTTTTTCTTCCATTTTCATATTAAAATTTCACCTACAAGATTCTACAAGAACCTCCTGGTCTGGCATGTTCTTTTTGTCTTCCTCTCTCCTTAATTCTGTAATATACGAAAGACATTTTGGACACATAACTTAAGTGCTTCCAGTTCCATAAGCAAGTCTTACCAAAGGCATAAAGCCATAACACGAATATTCACCAGAAAATACTCTATTTTTCACATCAATGTAAATACTCAAAAAATTAATACTTTTACTGGACATCAGTTAAATTTTATAAGAAAGCAAATCCTGTTTGCTTTTCCTGGCAAACCACAAAAATAAGACACAAAGTTATCTAAATAAAGAAGGCCATGTTTTATATTTAGAAAAATTAGTTTAATTGTGCTATAATCAATTTATCTTATTAAATAACTCTGCTGGTTTCCTGTATTTTAAAATCCAAAATATAATTTACAAATGTTCCTCTGTCTTATCTCAGAAGATACATATACACATTTACACACACATTTTGTTTTGTAATTCACTGGAACTAAATATTTTAGAAACAACTAGAAATTCTATATGATGCTTTTGCACTGACCAGAAATTCTAAATGATGCTTTTGTGTAAACTGAGAAATTTATTAATTTAGCATTTATAAAATAAAAGTATGCAGCACCCTCTGCATCTTTCTTAATATTTGAAAGTTTTATAAAGGTCATCTGTTAATACTATCTACCTCATCTCTTATTACAAACAGTAATGATATCCTACAATATTTTATCACCTACCAAAAATCCACGAACAGATACGTATGTCACATTATCCAAGATGGATAAGTAAAAGCAAAATGGAAAACTAAAGTGCAGGCAGTTAAATGTGAAGAAACCATGGAACTCTGCTCAGTGGCAATTATCATATATCAATATTTTCAAGTGCTCACTTGTACAAGGCACTATACTGATTACCACCCTTCAGCCAAGGCAAATGGGGGAGGGGGAGAGGGAGGAGGGAGGAATCTGCGCCCTGAAGGTCCTTTCTGAAGTGAATGCATCTTGCCTCACCAAGGATAGAAAGGCAGATCAGAGGATTGGGGTGGGGTGGGGAGCTGGTGGAAAAGGGAAGATGGCCAAACTTTCCGTTATAAGATGAATGAGTTCTGGAAACCTAACGTACTGCATGGTGACTATATTTAATAATAATGTGTTGCATACTTGACACTTGCTCGAAGTAGATTACAAGTATTCTCACCAAAAAAAAAAAAAAGGTAATTAGGTGAGGTGATGGATATTTTAGTTAGCTTGACGGTGGTAACCATTTCACAACGTACAGTATAGGTACATGAAAATATGTTCTACACCTTCAATTATTATTTGTCAATCATACTTCAATAAAACTAGAGGCGGGGGGGGGCAAAGAACACCAAGGGAACCCTGCAAAAGATGGAATTTTTTGGATATCAGAAAAAGTACAGATACCGTGGGCTACCAGCACTTTGCAAAACCTGGAAAGACACTGAAGAAGAGTTGAGATTCGGCGACTGCAAAAATCCTTGCAAAAGGGTAATTTAGAATAAGCCCGTACTACATCGGTTTTAGAGAAAGAAACAAGGGTGGGCGGGAGAGGGTTCGAGAGGTCCACAGTGGGAGAAAATCGAAGGTGCCGCCAGGGAGGTTTGAGAATGGGTTTTCACCTCCCCAAACTGGCGGGGGTGGGGGGGTCCCAGTCCCGGCTTCCACCTCCACTTCCACCCCCCATCTGCACCCCGCCCCGGGCGAGCGAGAAGGTCCAAGGGAGGATCCAAGCCGGGTCCGGTGACAAAAAAGCGGCTCCGGGTTCCCGGGAAATCAGAACAGAGCGGCCCCCAGGGAGCCAGGGCTGCAGGAGGGGCGGGGAGCGGGGCGGCTAGGAAACCGAAAGGAGTACGACAGGGAAGGGATGCCGCGGGGCCAAGGACCCTTCCTCATACCACACCGGGGACCGCAGCGGGGAAGGGAGGGTCCCGCGACGAGGTGGAGGCAGAACTTACTCCGCGGTCCTCCTCCGAGAGGAAGTCGGGGCCGTCGTCCAGGCCTTCCTGCGGGGTGGACAGGCCCGGCGCGCCGTGGGAGAGGATGGGATGGGGGAGACACAAAAGGAAACATTAGTGCCAGGCCGGCGCGGTCCCCGCGCCCGCCCC